TAATTCAAAGGCCACTGCTGGATGCACTACCCACAGTGCAGTCTGACCAACCCCACTGGTGTGTTCCTCAATCTTGCTCCTCTAAGAAAGGATCTCCCCGGTTTTCCACCTTGTTGTTTTTAATGTTTACCTTCTCTCTCTTCGGGGCAATAGCATCCAGTTCGTCAATGAAGATAATGGCTGGGGCGTTCTTTTCAGCTTCCTCAAATGCCTTCCTCAGGTTACTCTCCGATTCGCCAGCTAATTTGCTCATAATTTCAGGACCTGTAACGACAGGGAAGTAGGGCAACGGCCCATTCAAACAATTAGGTTGATCACAAAGCATCCAAATCAACCCCCTTTACTGTTTGGAGTGTGGTTTTAGGATTTAGCCAGTTATCACGCATCCGCAGGTCCTTGGAGGAAATGCTGATGGGTCTATTTTTCAGTACCCACTGTACAAGTTTCTTAGGGAGCTTTTAAGCCTAGAATTTCACTAAGACCAACACAGGGCCATTCAAATCACAGGGCCAGTACAGCACAGGTATGATCCCGGGGATAAAGGGCTTGTCAACGAGGAATGGTTGAAGACTCTGGGTCTGTACTTGATGGAGTTTAGAAGGATGAGGGGGGATCTGATTGATTGAAACTTACAGAATACTGAGAGGCCTGGATAGAGTGGATGTGGAGAAGATGTTTTCACTGCTAGGAGAGACTAGGACCTGAGGGCACAGTCTCAGAGTGAAGGGACGACCCTCTAGAACTGAGATGAGGAGGTATTTCTTCCACCAGAGGGTGATGAATCTGTGGAACTCATGGTCACAGAGAGCTGTGGAGGCCAAGTCATTGAGCGTTTAAGACAGAATTAGATAGGTTCTTGACTGGCAAGGGGATCGAGGGTTACAGGGAGAAGGCAGGAGAACAGGATTGAGAAACATATCAGCCATGAGTTAATGGTGAAGCAGACTTGATGGGCTGAATGGACTAATTCTGCTCCCACATCTTATGATCACAGGGGATTGTTGTTCAGCCCATCAAATCCACGCAAGCCCTCTCCATGGAGCGACTCAGTCAGTTCCACTCCATCATTCAACGAGCATAACCCTTGCAGGTTTGCTTCAAGTGCCCATCCCAGCAACATTTTGAAATGTTGGACTGTCTCTTGAACCACTCTCGTGGGCAGTGAGCACACTGCATTGAAAAAAAACTCTCCCTTCCTCCCCAGCGCAATCCGAGATCTCCTGCTTAACACCTTAAATCTCTTGCACCAACCCTTCCTGTCTACTTAACGATAAATCCCAATCAACTCTTCCCTCAAACTCCTTTATTCCAAGGAGAGGAAGCCCAGCTCCCTCAGCCTAACCTTAAAGCTAAAATCCCTCATCCCTGAATCTCTTCCACATCCCCTCGAGAATCCTCACGTCCTTCCCAAACGGGGGTGCGCGGGATGGGACACAATGCTTTGGTGTTGACCCAACTATCACTGTTAGAGTTGCATGTGGAGCGCCACATTAACAGCGGGTCTGGCAACATCTGTAGGGAGAAGGCAGAGTTAACACTGAGTCCAGTGACCCTTTACCTTTGAGTGAATCAACCCAGGCTCAAAAAGTTAAACTCTCTTCCTTTCTCGACAGAGCCAGAAATCACAAGACACCGCGCCATAGTCCAACAGGTTTATTCAAAATCACAAGCTCTAGGAGCGCTGCTCCTTTGTTGGGTGAAGCGATGGTCCAAAAGCTTGTGACTTCAAATAAACTTGTTGGACTATAACCTGGTGTCGTGTGATTTCTGACCTTGCCCACCCGAGTCCAACACCAGCACGTCCACATCATCTCTCAACAGATGCTGCCAGAACTGCCGAGTTTCTCCAGCAATTTTACGTTTTTGTTTCAGATTTCTAGCGTCCGCAGTTTTTTTGTGTTTTATTGAAGTTAGCAGTTGGGTTTCTTAGAACCATTGGTAAGGCTTATCGATTGTAAATTGGAAAAGTTTAAAACTTGTGGAATTTAGGTTTGCGAACGGGAAATTTGATTTCATAGTGACACAGGGAACATAGTCAACCAGTTGGACGTCGTTGGAATTTTTAAGGGTTTCATGAGGTGGGATGACTGGAGGGTGCTTGATGATGGAGAAACTGAGACAGGTCGAATTGTGTGGTCTCCAACTGAGTCTCGGCCGCACAGTGTTGTGTGATTCGGTCTCACCGTTGATGAGGAAGAAGAATGCTCCGGTTTCATTGGCCACAGCTCGGGCCACCAGTGTTTTCCCAGTCCCCGGAGGCCCGTACAGCAAGATCCCTCGAGGAGGCTGCGTCAAATCAAAAAAAGGGTGCGTGGTTAAACGTCACCGAGAGAGACTTCCCAGCACCTCCTCCGAACTCTGTCCCCATGGTGAACGCAGCACCCCCCTCAGTGGAGACACACTACTGCCTACCCCTCACCCGCGGAAGCGTCATAGCAACAGGATCTTGGTGGCAACTGTAATAGTCATCGCTGGAGAATCACTAAACACAAGAAGTCCAAACTTCACAAGTTATACTGCAGCGGGAAAGGGTTGGACCTGTTCAGCCGAGGTTCTTATCACATTGGTTACCCGGTTGTCTCAGGCCGTGTCAGTACCATTACCCACCCACAGACACCAGAGTGACCCACTGTGAATAAGACAGCATGTTTCTATAGTGCCTGTCCTCAGACCTAAGGGAAACCTCAGTGTTTATTCCCTTCCAGAGGATCACTGAGTCAGCCTGGATGGGAAAAATCATTCCATCATTCCCGGTATCAAATATGACAGACAACGTGCCCTCACGGCTTTAACGAAGATGTTGTTCTCTAGTTTGAGCTGATTTCATTTATATATCCAGCATTCCCTCCCTGTTTCCCAAATTTCCTTCCAATTCTGGATGGTTCCCAAATGTGCCTCAGTTTCACAGAGACCGTGATAATGCTGCCTATTGGAAAGTCACGGGGCTGGTCGTGGGAGCAGGCTGGTCCAGGCACTGTCTCTCCACCAGTGTCAACGCGGTGGGAGCCACGCGTCTGAGGAATCCCGGGGAACGGGCGCGAGCGCACACACGTGTGCACACGCACACACGTGTGCACACGCACGCGCACACACAAACACGCGTGCACACGAACATGCACGCACTCACACTCACACACGCACTGTCCCGGTGTGACCCACCTTCACGCCGATGGCTTTGAAGAGGGTTGGGTGGCGCAGAGGGAGCTCCACCATCTCCTTGATCTGCGCCAACTGCTTGCGGCATCCTCCGATGTCATCGTACCCGACGTCATTCAGATTCTCCTCCTCGTCCTGCCAGGAGCAGGGTGGGGGGGGCGAGAGGAACAAACAGGGTCACCGCCTCACCATGGCAAAGCTACGTTTATATAGCACCGGTCGCAACCCTACCCCGACCACCCGAAGCACCGCACGGGCGATGGACTATGTTCGATTCCAGTGGGTTTGAGCTTCCACTGGATTTCCACCACACAGCAGAGTATCCACAATGCCACAGCCAAATACTCTGTTCTCTCACTGGTTAAGTATTATCCGGGGGTGGGAGTGAAGGGGTTAATGTGACCCGTCTTTGAGATAGCACCATGGGATCTTTGGTGCCCACCCGAAGGGGCCTCGATTTAACGTCGCACCTCAATGATGCCGGGTCCAACGGGTGTTTACCTCCGGGGAGGAGGGAATGCTGGTGTCCTGAGCCACAGGATCTGGGATTGACGGGATACTGACAGGAAACACACACACACAGAGGAAAGTAACTCTGACCTTCAGTCTGTCCACTAGTTACGGCCACACAGTGTGGAAACAGGCCATTCGGTCCATCAAGTCCACACCGGCCCTCCGAAGGGCATCCCACCCAGACTCACCCCCGCCCTATCCCTGTACCCCTGCATTTCCCATGGCTAACCCACTTATCTTTGGGCCGTGGGAGGAAACCGGAGCACCCGGAGGAAACCCACGCAGACACGGGGAGAAGGTGCAAACTCCACACAGACAGTCACCCGAGGGTGGGATCGAACCCGGGTGCCTGGCGCTGTGAGGCAGCAGTGCTGAGACACCGTGCCACCCCACGTTGTACTCTCTACACAGACACACGCTAGCAATTGACACGAATGCAAAGGAACTCTACTCTTACGGAAATACTTCAGAAACTTGTCTCCATTTTCCAACTGACCCTGTTGGCTAAACCTAAGATCAGTGTTTGGATCTTCCCTCTGTATAAACATGACAGCCCATGAATTTTAGAAACACTTACAATTTAAAGAACATAAGAAACGGGAGCAGGGGTAGACTGTGGTGCGGTGCCCAGGGCTCAACGCACTACTGTAGTCTTAAACAGGGACCAAGCTGAGCTTCGTACAACTGTCAGAAAATGTACCCCCTTTTGTGTTAGCGGCTCAAGGTAAAACCACCTGTAACTCCACATGCAACCACTAAAAACCATTTATAGTGATCAGAGGAACGTGCTCCGTCATCAATCTCCCCCACCGTTTGAAAAGGAAAATGAATGAGACCTGGTCCATTTCAGTGTGGCGCATGTTCTTGGGGCTAAAGGGGTCGAAGAGTATGGGGATGGGGATGGG